GATCAGTTGTCCAAATCATCTTCTGTTGATAATATCTTAAGGCGACGAATAACATGAATGCTGCCCAGACACGAGCAACGACGGAGGAGAGGTTCCAGACAAGGGTGAAAAGTGCCAAAGCCACTGCCTTTTTGTGATTGCACGATTCCCATGCGTCCCTGAATCTCCTTACCCAGAACTTCCCTGCAATGTACACAACCTGTTTGATCTAATGTCTCAAAGAAGATATGACTATGACAGAAAGGTACAGAAGGAGTTTTAGTTACCGTAAGCAGAGAAGTGGGTTGAGTATGAGATGAAGATTTTAGGCATTGTAAATGCTCCCAAAAAGCCTGTGTTCGTAGAGACAAACACGCACAAAACTCAGAATCTACACACTCCACTTGTTATTGTTGGCACAAAACAAGAAAGTCTTGCAGTCTAGAGCTCAAACGGTAGAAGAAAAAGTACCGAATTTGGCGAGGTTCCAAAGAGTGATAGAAGAACCACACTTGGCCAAGAAGAAAAGCACTACTCCCATCTGCACATCATCATCTCCTCTTTATTAAGGTAGATAGAGAGGGAAGGAAGCGAGTGAAGAAGAGAAGAGACACTTACCTTGAGTGTGGTGGATGGATCGCCGGAGAATAGTGACCTTAGTTGAAGTAGAGACTCGTTGAAGTAAGGCATTATGAGTCTGAGCATCCTCTTCACATCTTCCTCTCTCACTCCAACACCTTTATGCCTCTCTTCCTCCTCCACCATTCCCCTGCGCCGATTAATATGTAAAGTCTCTTGAGTTTCAATTACACAAACATCATGCAAAGAAACAGAGAGGGAGATAGATATATCATATATGTATCAGACCTGTGGATCACTGATCTAAATACGAACGTGATGCCGAGATAAATGAGTCCCATGTATGCTACCACTGATATGAAGCTGATCATCGTAATCATTTACATTGTTAGCTCTGCAAGTTAATCACCTTGTGTGTATTTACTTAATCCAATGAGACAAACCTGAAATTGAGATCGTTGGCGTAGGAAGAAGAAATGATGAGGAATGTTCCAAAGCCAAACACAAGAGCCGACCTTGATGCTTCTCTCCACATCACCAGATCCACTGTCCATTTCATTTCATCATTTGTATAAATTTCTAGACTAAAAAAATTGTTTTCTCTTTATAGATGGAATTCTGCACTAAGCGATTCAGAATCTCACCCAGACTCTGTAATTTGCTCTGTGGCTGAGTAAAGTTGACTTCTTCCTCTGCAAACAGTTATAAAACAGAGGTTTCATCGAAATTGAGTATGAAACAGCAGCCGATGAAATAAAACACTGAGATTCGGATTAAAAACCTCTGGTTGGAGTCGGATTCGGTGGGGATGAATAAACGGAAGTTGCCCTTTTGATCACCGGAGGCGGAATTTTACGAACGGACGACGGAGATGGAGATGTTCTGTTGTGAAATTGACTGTACTTTTTAATCTCAACATCACCTGAAACTCTGTTATTATTGCTATTCTCTTTCGCTACATTCATTTCTTTCACATCAACACTCTTCTTCTCCACTTCTCTCTCTTCCTCGTGATCGCCATTGTCGATTTGCTCATCTTCCTTCGAATTAGCGGAAGAGACGATTATTTCCTGACAGACACCGAACTCCTTAACTTCTTCTTCTGTGATCTGCAGCTTTTCATCGACAGTCTCCTCTCTGTTCTCTTCTGGAAGTTCCGACACAGACGGTACATCAACATGCTCTGTTTTCTTATCGAATTTCTCGGAATTACCACGAGCTGGTAATGAATTCACTTTCCTCAACGTAACCGAATCAAATTCACCGGATTTGACGATCGCAGTACACAACTCCGATCGGATCTTCTTAACCCGAGTGGGAGTCTTCTCAATTCCCTCCACGGAATCAGATCTCGCCTTCTTCGCCGCCACCGACACAGTCAAACTCTTATTATCATTGCAATCACTAGAGATTGATCTCCTCGGCGTCACCGGAGGAGTAGTACCAATCGATCTCGGCCTCGTAAGCTTCATTGAATTGGCTCGACTAATCTCCATTGATGTGCTGCTCTTCACAGCATCGGACTTCCAAGTCCGTCGCTTTCCGTTAACCCCTAAAGGAGACTCCTTTAAACTCATCACCACCTTACTAGAATTCTTGTCTTCCTCGGAAGCTTTAACAGTGGCGTTATTACTAACTTCGTCGTCGCTCTGCATTCTCGTTTCCCAAACAGAGCCTGCAGCAACAACGGCTCCTCCAACGCCAATTCTTTTTCTTCTGCTACTTGGGTCCATTCTCTGTCTTTATGTCACTGTCTTACTTAGTAATTGAGTTGAATTTGGGGTCAGAGAGAAAAGTGGTGATGATGATGAATCTTGAAGCAGAAGGAAAAAAAATGGAGGTTGTTAGTCACCAAAGAGAGACAAATGATTTTTCATCTAATGATCTCTCACTGAGGTGTGTAGAGAGAGAAAGTAGAAGTTGGGAATTAGATAGAGGAAGGGGACCTATCTTTTTTTTTTTGGTCTCATGAAGCTTGAGACTATACCAAATTGGATAATGCTTTAACTAACCTAAAAGCCTTTGCATGTGGTTGGACTGTAAAAGATGCCGCTTAAACATAATCATTAAGGTTTATGATCACAATCTCTACTTTTAACTTTTCTTTTTACAAGCTTAATTTTTATACA